CTCATCCACCTGGAGGTATCTTAGTGTGATGAAAGCGAAACTTTGACAACCTCATGTCATTTACTCTGATATTGAACAGGTACTTAAAAAAGAAGTCTGAGTCTAAACCTCATTTGAGAGAGAATAACAACAAAAAACCCTTACAGAATTGCCTTAATACACAAAGCATTTATCATAGTTATAAAGTACAAAAGATATTAACTTTTCTATTAATGGGCTATCATAGTTATGAGGTACAAACGATATAAACTTCTCTATTAATGGGTTTGGCATGTAATAGGGTGTATTCATTTCTTTCCCCCTGGCACTCTCTTGCAATTACAAATCAAGTGCTTTTACAAATATAATTTATCTGAGCTTAGAGACTGATCTCAGTAAGAAGTACCCAGCTGACTGATATGTCTCCTTCACTATCTTGGACTTTAGCTTTTTCAGTTATGTTTTTGTTCTACATATTCCATTATGTTGCACTTTCTCCTTGAAAAAAAACATAAAAGCAAAATAGAAGTTGAATAATGCTGACTGCTTTCTTGGTCATGTCAACATTACATTCTCAGTCTCTACCATATATTCTTGTGTGTTTACCTTGTTGCTGTATTAAATTACAATTACTGCAGACATGTGTGGGAATAAGTGATTATTGTGTATGAGGCCAGATTAAAAAGCAATGTCTTATTTTAAAGGATCTAAGAAAGACAACATGTAAGATAAATTTCAAATTTTAAGACGGACTTTCAGACTAAATAACTTAGTAAGTAGTTGGCCAGAAATGGTTCCTTCTTAGTGTTTATTGTCTGGAAGAAAAACAAATATAAACGTTACTTGTTATTAACATCAACAAATAAAGAATATTAAGCAATCAAGTAATTTACTTTAAAATATAATTATACAGTGGGGCCTTGACTTACGAGTTTAATTCGTTCCGAGACCGAGCTCGTTAAGGAGCTCGTTAACTCAAATTACTCTGTCAACTCAATGCAAAAAAATCGACCGAGAGACAGCTGGTATCTCAAAAAACTCGTTAGTCGGGACACTCGTAAGTCAAGGCCCCACTGTATTTTAGAATTCCCTCCTGAATATTTAAACACTAAGTAAACCTTTCTAAGAAATTTGGTTATTGGCATATGAAATGATTACAAATTTACCAAAATTTATAGATATGAGCAAGCAAAGAATCCAGAGAACTTGATAATCTCAAAGTATCTGAGAAAGTAATGAAAATAAAGAGGGTAACTTCTCAAATAAACAAGCCTACTTAAAAAAGAATACAGCATGCTCAGGATTTTAGATGAGAAAATAGAGGGCCAGTTCTCTTTCCTCTTCCCCAAAAGCCCTAAAGAATACACCTGTTTTTGCATCCTAAAAAGGAACAGCTACTCCTCCAAAACTGAGGCCCCTGTATGTTTTCTACACTTAAGAAATAACACTTTGGCCCTAACTGGATAGAGTGTTGGCCTTTGGACTGAATGGTCACGGGTTCAATGCCGGTCAAGGGCATGTACTGGTTGCGGGCACATCCCAATGGGGGGTTTGCAGGAGGCAGCTGATCATTGTCTCTGTCTCTATCCCGCTCCCTTCCTCTCTGTAAAAAATCAATAAAATATATTAAAATAAAAGAAATAAAACTTTCATTTTTTTATGGATTCATTTTTTTAGGGGAGAGAGATATGTTGATTTGTGGTTCTACTTAGTTGTGCATTCATTGGTTGATATTGTATGTGCCCTGACCGGGGATTGAACCTGCAACCTTGGCACATTGGCACAGCGCACTAACCAACTGAGCTTGTTTCATTTTTAAAATTTAAATTAATCATCTTTATTGTTGAGATTATTACAGATGTACCTTTTTCCCCCACCCCCCCCCCCCCCCCCACACACACCTCCTTCCCTCAGAATCATCAGTGTGTTCCATTTCCATGCCCCTAATTCTATTCCATTCCCCGGTTTATTCTGTATATCAGATTTTATTCATTTGATTTTTAGATTCAATTGTTGATAGATATATGTATTTGTTGCCACTTTGTTGTTCATATTTTTTTAAAATTAAATCTTTATTGTTCAGAGTATTACAGTTGTTCCTCTTTTTTCCCCCCATAGCTCCCCTCCACCCGGTTCCCACCCCACCCTCTGCCCTTACCCCCCCACACTGTCCTCATCCATAGGTGTACGATTTTTGTCCAGTCTCTTCCTGC